AGGAAACCATGGATAGTATGGGACTCCGGCTTGTACCCGATTGAGCCTAAGTGCAAGTGGGAGCTGTTAGACAGTGTATGCCCTTAGCTCCAATCAGATTGATGTACATATGCATTTATTGTAAATGAATAAAAGTACATAATTGATTCATGTTATATTTGGTATGTTTCTGTGTAACTACCCTTAAATTGGACACTTATGAGACTCGTGATAGCTTAGAATGTTCTCAGCCATTGGATAGACTTGGGGAATTTTATCCTGCGAAGGCTGACACTAATGTGCTACCAAATAGGTTGGGGTAGCTTGTCTTAGTTGCCAGGGTGAGACCCGAAGCACATGTAGTGTTTGATTGTTTGAAACACTGAACCCGAACCTTTTTCTAGTTATGCCCTAGACCTTGGAGATTGGTGGGCAAAAATGCAAAGTTACACCTAACCCATAGACTCGATTATAGTACTGCATTGGGTGTCGGATTGGGTTGTCTTTGATATGCCAATCAGTGAGATCCTTAGAGGGGGTCAAAACTTGGGTATGTTGGGGCAGTCTGAGAATTCACTCGAGTGGGTGATCAAAGTGACAGGATCAGCCCCTTTGTCGGACAAAGTGAATGATTGGGACTGCACTCTCTCTGATGGAAACCAAAACTGTCGATAGTCGATTTCAAACTTGTTTGAGATTTGTTTTGCAATATATATATATATATATATATATTATGTTTTATGAAAAATGTTTGCAAAAGGTTTTAATTCCTGGGATCCATCTGAGCAGAGAGTGCAACACTGCACCTTGCAGCCAAGGGAGAGGTCCTTCCCTGTTGGGTAGTGTTTGATCATTAAGGGCTAAGAGGTTAAGTGTAAGACCATTTAGGGATGTTATACCTAATGTGCTATATCTCACTTAAGTCCATTGTCCTTGGACCTTCAAAGGATGGTTGGACTCAATGACCATTTATTGTAAATGTTGGGCCCATTAACAACCCATACTGATGGACTCAGGGGTTCATTGTACTAGACAGTGAATTCGGCTAGGCTTTTTCACAGAAGCTGGCTGAACCCATGTGGGCTCATGTGAGGTCATTGTTGGGGTCCCGCGCCATACAAAGAGAGCCAAATTGTCCAACAACTAAATGGGAACGTGAGCCATTTGCTTAATGGTCTTAAGGCCCATTATTAATTGGATTAATCAGGATGTCACAATTAATTGGATTAATTGGATTAAGCAGGCATGTGACATGGGCGAATATGGGCATGGATATGGGTTTGGATAAGTAATAGGATAAGAGGATAAGTCTTATCCACTTAAAAGAGTCCAGATCCAAATAAATATTTGGATTAAGACACCTCCTAATAGGATTAGCAATAATGATCTTTAAGGCTTATAAAAGGAGGAGGGGGCAAACAACTCTAGACACATTTCTGCTCTTAGTTCTCTCCTACTCTTGCCGCCCAAACCCTAGTTCGAACTCCAGTTCTTGAACTGATAGAGATCAATTCTGATATCTTATTTTTGCAAGAAAACATCAGATCCATTTCGTGCTCACATCCCTTTCTCGATCCAAGCTGTTGGACTGTAGTTCTTGCTGATGGACTACGTTGTTGAACCGACTTCAATTGAAGCTGTGCCATATTCAGTGGAAGCAGGTTTTGGTACCCTCTTTGGGTGTGAACACACACTTTGGGAACTACTTGTGTGGGATCCGATCAGGTATTCTTCTCCCTTTCTTCTGGTTTCAGAAATGGTCTGGTTCGGTGCAAGAATGATCATTGAAAAATGCATTTTTTCTAAAATTGGGAATGCGATTCTCGGAAGGGTAAAAATATATTTTTGAAATTTYGCCCTACCATCCAACATGGTTCGGCCATCCATATGATGGATTTCCCCTTCCTTCAGTTATTGTTTGGTGTTGTTTGCAGAGTTAATTGGAAACAGAGCAAGAGCGCTCGTCTTCCCAATGAGAACTACAACAACCAATACCCTTGATCGTCAACTTTCTTGTAGACAACAATAACCAAAACCTCATCGACATCTTCAAATGATGTCTGATAGCGTCTCCGACATCATCTCTGACATCGTCTCACTTTTAATAAGGTATCAAAAGTTTTACTTTGAAAATTTAAGGAACAATGGGGGGCAAAATAGTCTTTTTTAATCCTTCTGTTAATGGACACTGACGGTAAGGAAGATTTAGTAAATTATTAGAAACAATATGGGTACTTTAAGACAATACTGAAGCATTAGGGGTATAATTAGTTAATTTCCTAAACCTTAGAGGTAGTTTAAGAAATTTGCATTTTTTTTATTAGATTTAGATTTTAATCAAATTGGATGGGGTTAAATCCACATCCAATCCAATTATTAATTGTGTGACAGTTCTAACATCCAAATATGGGATAATCATATCGAGAGTCTAATTAGGTATTGAACTTTCAGAGTCCAACGATAGCCCTATGGGATAGGGCCCAAGCTAAGCAACCCCTAAGCTTGACTGAGAGTCATATACAAATATGGTAAATATTATTATATAATATTTAGATAACAAATTTTATATTAATATATAGATAGATTTTTTTTATATATTTATAAGTCTAAAATTAAGTAAAAATTTTAATTAATAAAAACATCATAGTTTTATAATTAACACAACCAAGCCTATCCCAGTCCTAGGCCCATATAAATATTATTACGCTTGTGGAGTGGACGGGGCTAGGCCAGACAAACTTAAAAATTGTTAATTCACTTTTAAAATCTGGCATAAGATCTTTTAGTTTTTGTGGTCCACTAGGCTATACAATGGGGGTTGCCCATCCCCTATATTTCTTTTGAAGGGATGAGAGATCCATCATATGGATGGCCGAACCCTGTAGGAAGGTTGGGCGAAATTTCAAAAATTTCTCTCTCTCCCATGTGGGAATCACATTCTCTATTTTAGAAAGCTGCATTTTCAATGATCAATCTTGAAACTAAACTGGACCATATCTGAAACCAAAAGGGAGTAGAGGGATATACCTGATACGGAGTAACAGTAACTCCCAATGAAGGTGTTCACGCCCAAGGAGAAAACCAAAGACTGCTCCCACTAAAGATGACACAGTGTGAGTAGGAGCAGAATCAGCAGGATGGCTCTTCAGCAAAAACCAAATTCTTCAGCAAGAATGTGATGGAGGGCTAGTAAGCACGACTTCAGATTACTTTTTCTACCAAAAGGTAATATCAAGAACCTTTCTTGATTACTCCCACAAGTGGAGATCGAACTAGTAGGGCAGCAAGAGTAGGAGAGAAGAAGAAAGTGCAATCAAACTGTGCTGTCTCTCTCTGGAACTCAACAGTCTATGAGATGATTTGGAGGTTGGCCCTGCTCTTCTATTTATAGCCTTAAAGAGAGGTTCTCCTAATCCCATTAGGAGTTTCCTAATCCAAAGACAGCCCAATCAGACACCTAGTGTAGTATCATAATCGAGTCTAGGGGTCAGGTATAACATTCTAGTTTTGTCCATCTATCTCCAAGGTCCAGGGCAATACTGGAATTCTGGTCCGATTCAGGGTTTCAAGAAAACCCACACTGCATGTACCTTAGGTCTCACCCTGGCAGCTGAGACAAGCCACCCCAACCAACTTGGCGGCACACATCAGTGTTAACCTTGGCAACATAAATCTCCCCAGATCTATCCAACGACTGTGAAGATTCTAAACTAACACGAGTCTCATAAGTGTCCAGTTTAAGGGTATTACACAGAAACACACCATAATAACATGAATCAAATATGTACTTTATTCATTTACATTAAATGTCATAATGTACATCATTTTGATTGGAGCTAAGGGCATACATTGTCTAACACTTTTGGGCTTCGGTTTCAATATTTTCTAAAAATAATTAAAATGCATGGGTTGTACTTGATTTGGGTCAATCCAATTATAGATGCCACATTTCTCTTAGGGGGCAACTTGGGTGGGTTGGGTCAGGTTGAATATTAACCCAAGCCCAACCTGAAGTCTTAGACCATGGGCTTGGGCTTAGATTAATTTAATTATGACTACTAAAAAGTTAACCTATGGATCAATTTAATTATGACTATAACCTAATTTTATATATTTACTAATATTTAAGTATTTTAAATATTTGAGTAATATTTACAAGTAATTGTAACATTTAATCATTACTAAAGTAAAATAAATAAGATAGAACAATAAGAGTGCGTTTGAATGTGGTGTAATAGTAAAAGTACATCGATGGAATTGAACACTATTCAATTTAAAGTTGTGGATCGTTGTAAATTGAAAATTGTGATTATCGATACAAATATTTACATTGATTCTATCGAAGTTGTATTTAATTACATCGGTTTTTGATGATTAAATACACTCCATCCAAATGACCACAAATATGAACCAGGGTATTTAATTAAATGGCCTGTATTTACACTCCAAACGAACACAACCTAATAGATAATATGAATAAATAATTAACAATAATTATTTTCATTAAAAATTACTAATATAATTAATTCAAATTACTAAGTTATTAATGTAATTAATATGTATCCTAATAGATATTATGATCATGGTCACAGAGGATATGAAATGGGGGATGGATACGGGCATCTAGCAACCATATATTACGAGACCATAGTCACAATTATGTGAACTAGGGAAGCCGGAAGGACACAAGAACATCTAGCAACTATACATTTTTCTGCAACCCAAGGAACGCTGATCACTAGTGGTCTTGGTTAATTAAGGTAATTAAAGTGAAAGGGTTCAGCACGTATCCCGGGCGATTTCTCCTCCCGTCCATAGCCCATGAGAGCAAGTCCACATATTCCACGTTCAGCTCATGCCCAAAGCATGACTCGTTGATCGACGTCTTAGAAAGCCGTCAACCTGGTTTCTCAGAGAGACTTTTCTTTTTCTTTTTCTTCTTCCTATTCTTTAATTCACGTAATGACTTCCCATTTTTCAGTTTTGGTGTAGAGAGAGAGAGAGAGAGAGAGAGAGAGGAGATGTTGCAAAGAGCGGCAAGCAATGCGTATTCCTGGTGGTGGGCGAGCCACATCAGGACAAAGCAGTCGAAATGGCTCGAGCAAAACCTTCAAGGTATCATCTTATTTGCTCTGCCAAACATTGGTTTTTGATTGTTTTGCCAATTTGTTGCTTTTCTTTCTTCATCGCAATTGTGGCTTCTTAGATGAATGTGAATTCAACAATCTTTATTTCACACCAGAGGAAAAATGGTTTCAATTTTTCTTCCCATGCTTTTTATTCTGGTTAACAAATTTGTATTTGGGGATATGGATTTTGGTGTTTTCTTTGTTTTTGTTCTTCTCCAAATTTCAAATGCACTAGGAGCTGCTATATCAACAACAAGATGAAGAATTTGTTGACATGAAAAAACCAGTAAAGGGAAAATAAAACTATTGAGAACCCAAAATTCAAAACTCCATATTTGTTATGTATAGAAAAAAGGGGACAACACTTATAATCTTGAGTTCACTAAACTGGAATCGTAAAACATTATTCTCTTTTCCACCACACACACACACACACACACAAGGATATTTTAGTAAGAACCTGCACAACACAGATTTCATTTATTCATCTGTAAGAAATCCAGAGCATATAATCAAAGTAAGATTGGTAATATTGATGCTTCCCAATTAACTAACAATTTTGTATTTAACAAATGAATGCACAGAAATGTTTTGTGATCATCACTTGCAAGTGGCACAAATTTATATCTCTAGTCTCTGAATTGAACTTTTGCAGATATGGAGGAGAAGGTGAAGGGCGTTCTTAAACTCCTTGAAGAGCAAGGAGACTCTTTTGCCAAGAGGGCAGAAATGTATTACAGAAAGAGACCTGAGCTCATTAACTTTGTAGAAGAATTTTTTCGGGAATACAGAGCCTTGGCTGATAGGTATGACCATATATGTGGAGAGCTACAAAATGCCAACAACACCCTTGCAACTGTTTTTCCAGAGCAAGTTCAGTATGAAATGGAAGAAGATGAGGATAGTGCTTCCGTGAAAACCTCTAAACCAACTAAATTCCCCATGAATACTCAAAAAGAAAGAGACCAAGACCCAAAACCAAATGTTCCGGAGGTTCCAAAGTTTCCAAAGAAGGAGACAAAGACCCCACCCAAATTACTCAAAAAGAAATCTCAATCCAAGAAAACAAGTACATTTACTAATACCACTACAAATAGTAGTTCTCAGATGACCAAAGTTCAGGCACTTGAAGAGATCGATAAACTCCAAAAAGGAATCTTGGCCCTACAGACTGAGAAGGAGTTTCTAATGAGTTCATATGAGAACAGTCTTGCCAAGTATTGGGAAATAGAGAAACAGATCACAGATACACAAGAGCAGGTTTGCAGATTGCAAGATGAATTCGGTGTTGCAGCTGTCATTGAGGATGATGAAGCTCGAACTCTGATGACTTCAACAGCTTTGAAATCATGCCAAGAAACCTTGAATAGGTTGCAGCAGAAACATGAGAAATGTTCTGAGGAGACAAAAGTGGAATGCCAACGAATTAACAATGCCCATGAGAAGTTAAAGACCCTGAGATGTCAACTTCTCCGTAATGAGATAAATCAGCAGATAACTGAAAAAGAAAAAGAATCAACAGGATCAAGTCCAAACCAGAACTTGGAACAAGAAGATGGCAATCTGAAACAGGAGTCTGTACGTGATAAGATCAGGGAACACTTTGATATCAACTCTGGTACGTCTCTCACAGTGTCGGAAATGGCAGAGAAGATTGATGATCTTGTTAATAAAGTCATCAGCCTGGAAACTGCAGTTTCAAGTCAGACTGCTTTGGTTCAGAGATTAAAGTCGGAAACTGATGAACTTCAGGATCATATCAGAAGATTGGAAGAAGATAAAGCTACTCGGATCAATGACTCAAACAGTTTGAGAGACAGACTAAGAGAATTGGATGCTGAGTTGAGAAGAATACAGGATCTCAACAGGAATGTTGAAGATCAAAACAACAACCTCCAAACTCACTTTATTGAAGCACGTTGTAACCTTGATCATCTTTCTGAGAGGCTGCAAAATGTGAAACCTGATGAGGAGGTTGAGATGACTAGTTCATTGCAAGAAGTAGGAAGTCTTCTCGATGTCCAACCGCCCAAAAATCTGGAAGAGCATGAAGGTGTGAGGACTCCTGCTCATGGTTTGATGAATTCAGAGGACAGGACAGGCGTGGAAGGAAAGACAGATGAGGACAGGACAGATGTCAAAAAAAAGACAGAGGAGGTTCAGAGTGATAGTCACCAAGATAAAGATGTAATTCAACCCAAGGAAAACAATAGTGTTGGTCATATTTCAGAAAAAAATGCTGACAAGAAAGAGGAGGAAACAGTTCAGAAGCTGGATCCATTGCAAGCAGAAGATCATGATATAAATGTTGAATCAAAGAAAGAGGCCACTGAGGAAGATGATCAACCAAATTGGAAGGAGTTGTTCTTAAAAGGATTGGAAGAAAGAGAAAAGACTCTACTGGCAGAATATACTACTCTTCTTCAGAATTATAGCGAATTAAAGAAGAAGCTAGCTGAATTAGAGAAAAAAAATCGAGATAGTCAATATGAGGTAACAGTGCAACTGAGAGAACTAAAAAGTGATAATGCCATGAAGGATGAGGAGATAAGGTCTTTACGTCAAAAAATAAGCTTTCGACGGAGAGGTTCTGATAAATATTCAAATCTTGGTTCTAAAGATTTTAATGAATCACAGAAAGGAAAGCCCCATGATGGGAGGGAAGTAGGAGCAACCTTTGAGTCTACTAAAATTCCAACTATGATTTCAGGCCACCAACCAGCAACAGATTTGTGTGAAGATAAAAATGTTGAAGCTGCGGAAATGACCAATAAATCCATTGTAACCAAAACCTCAGAAACTCAACCTACGGAAGAAGATGAAAATGAAGACATCAAGATGATTGTGGTTGATAAACCTCGCTCTGTTTCAGCCATTGAAGAAAAGTTCCGTGGGGACATTGATGAACTGCTGGAAGAAAACCTAGATTTCTGGTTGAAGTTCAGTAGTTCAGTCTATCAGATACAGAAATTCCAGACTACAATCCAAGATCTAAAGGATGAGTTGTCAAAATTGAAGGAAAACAAGAACCAGGAAGGGAATACAGATACGTCTCGTAAATCAGATGCCCGACCAATATACAAACACCTGAGAGAAATACAAGCAGAACTGACAGTCTGGTTGGAGCAGAATGCATTGTTAAAAGATGAATTACAGCACAGATTCACATCTCTGTGTAACATACAAGAAGAAATATCAAGAGTAGCCAAAGAATGTTCTGAAAATGAAGAGGTTGAGTTCACCAGTTACCAGGCTGCCAAGTTCCATGGAGAGGTTCTGAATATGCAACAAGAGAACAATAAAGTTGCAGATGAATTGCAAGCAGGTTTAGATCGTGTTAGAGGCCTACAGCTTGAAATAGAGAAGATTCTGTCGAATTCTGGTCGTGACTTTGAATCGTCAGGAGCAAAAAAACTTCAATTGCAAGTCAAGAACCCAACAAATCCATCTGCTATTCCCTTGCATTCATTCATCTTTGGCGTGAAGCCAAAAAAACAGAAACAGTCAATATTTTCATGCATGAATCCAGCATTGCATAAACAGTATAGGAATCTGAGAGCTGGATTTCCTATGTAGATTGCTTTGATTTGAGATTCTTTCTTTCTAGCTCATTTTATTTTATTTATTTTTGAGAGGATATATTTTTCTTTTCTTGTTTCTCATAGTTTGACTAGTTCTAAAATAGATAGAACTTGGAGAGGTGCTTTATCTACTTGTCCCTTCATCTTTTAGCTGGGAAATGTAAGTTTGCTTGTATTACTTTGACACTTAAATGAATCAAGAAATCTTGATCATGTTCCACTTCAACCTCCATTTTTATTTGACAAAAACTAAACAGAAAATGTTCTCGTAGTATGTGTTTATCATAGTTTTTAATGGCCAAGTCTGTTGTTTGTTTGAGTTTGATCATTGTAAGTCTCTTTTCTTGTATGTTACTTTGAGTTGTTTTGTTATGAGCTGGATTGAGTGCGATAGGGAGAGTTTTGTTTTGTTCAGGTTTGGGACAAGGCGGGCTATGTCCTCCCTTGAATTTTATTTATTCCCTTTGATAATGGTTAACAAAATTTGTGGCCAGTCCACCTGGAGTAAAATTTGCGGTTAAAAAAAAGTCTACTCAAATATTCAAATATATATATATTTGAATATATATATTCTTGTATGTTAGACAATTTAGTATGCCCTTAGCTCCAATCAGTTTGATGTACTTATGACATTTATTGTAAATGAATAAAGTACATATTTAATTCATGTCTTGTGGTGTGTTTCTGTGTAATACCCTTAAACCGAACACTTACAAGACTTGTGTTGGTTTAGACGTTCACAGCCAATGGGTCTGTCTGGGGAGACCTATCTTGATAAGGCTGACACTGATGTGCCGCCAAATTGGTTGGGGTGGCCTGTCTCTACCACCAGGATGAGACCTGAGGTACATGCAGTGTAGGATTAATTGAATCTATGAACTAGACCAGATTTCCAGTGTTGCCCTGGACCTTGGAGATTGATGGGCAAAATTGGAAAGTTACACCTGACTCCTAGACTCGATTCTGATACTACACTAGGTGTCTGATTGGGCTGTCTTTGATATGCCAATCAGTGAGATCCTTAGCAGGGGTCAAAACCTAGGTATGTTGGGACAGTTTGAGAATTCATCTGAGTGGGTGATCATAGTGACAGGATCAGCCCCTTTGTCGGACAAARGTAATGATCGGGGATGCACTCTCTCTGATGGAAACCAAGACTGTTGGTAGCCGATTTCAATCGCTGAGATTTGTTTTACAAAATATATATGAAATATAAAAGTGTATATATTACGGTTTCTAACTATTTGCAAAAGGTTTTAATTTCTGGGATCCATGTGAGTTGAGAGTGCAACACTGTTCCTTGCAGCCGAGGGAGAGGTCCTCTCTTGTCAGGCAGTGTTTGATCATTATGGGCTAAGAGGTTAAGTGTAAGGCCATTGAGGGTAATACCTGATGGGCTAATCTTCCATCTGCTCACAGTCCCTACGTGTTACAAGGTGGCATGGCCCAGGGACCACTTAGGGTAAGTGTTGGGCCCATAGAGCCCATGTTATGGGTTTCAGGGGGTGCACTGTCCATAATAGTGTATTCGGCCAGGCCTTGTAACAAAGGCTGTGCTGAACCCATGTGGCTGATGTGTAGATCAATGCTTGGGTCCCACGGCATACAAGGAAGCCCAATTAGGCAGCAGTTTGGAAGGCTAAGTGAGCACATAACCTTATTGGGCCTAAAGCCCATATTGAACTGGGCTGATTTGATTAGTTAAATAAGGGGCGAATTCTGATATTAGATTAGCAGATAGGATTGGGTCTCAACCCTATCCACTCAGAGAGTCCAGATCTGAATTATTACATTCATATCTGGAAACCTCCTAATAGGATTAGGAGGGGGTTGATCTAATCTGCAGATAAGATAAGGGTTTACCCTTATCACTTAAAGGGAATTTTGATCCAAATATGATTTGGATAAGCAAATCCTAATGGGATTAGGAGCTGATCCCTTTAAGCTTATTAAAGGAGGAGGGGGCGGCAACCTTTAGAAGACATTATATTCACATCCTCTTTAGAGTTGAAATCACAGAAGAAAAAATTCAGCACCTCTGTGAAAATTCTTTCTTGTCGCCTCTTTCTTGCTGTCGCCACAAGATTCGGGCGTCCATACGATGGATATCTCATCCCTTCAGTAGTATCAGAGCCAGGTTTTGGTCTTGAACCGAATTGGATCAAATCTGAACCTGTGCAATTGGGCAGAAGGTGTTCTACCAGATTTGCATAGATATAAGGTTTTTCTGGAAAATTTGTTTCCAGTTAATGGGCGATTGATCTGAAATTAAATTTTATAAATCTGATTATTATTTAGAATTGTTCTTCATAATTTTCTTGATTTATGGGTTGTTCGTACACTTGGAGATCGAAATCTTGATTAGCGCAGGGAACCTGCGATTTTGCAGTTTCTTGATTATTTAATTACATTTGGTCTGTAAAATAATTTTTTTTTTTATTTTTAGACTGAATGTATAGGCATTCGATTTGATGTAATTGTAATAGAAATTAGGTTTTCTATTTATTTTTATTTTGGATCGAAGATGGCGGCGCAACGAAGGAGATTTCGCAGATGGGAGAATCGTTATCTGCAATTTGTAGCTTGTGAAACTGCAAACTGTGATCTAACATCTATTTTGCAAGATGGATTGTGCGAACAACCCTATCTGACTGATTCTTGATTTTCTATTATCAGTATTTAATTTTAGATTAATTTCTTGAATTAAATCTTTAATTCAAGATCAAACCTTAGACCCATTCGAACCAGATTGGTCCCAATTGGTTAGACTGAATCTAGGGTTCGATCAAGGTTGAATTCTCCCACTAATGGGCCTAAGGATTGATAATTAATTGAATATTTAATTCGGCCCAACCTGTAAAGGCCCAGTTTTAAATTGTTAAAACTACAAAAAGCCCACTTCGCAGATAAAGCTATATGGACCAAATTGATTAACCCTAATTTCGGCCCATATACCTCGATAATTTTAATGGTTAATATTATGGGCTTTGAAATGGGCTTTACAGATATTAATTGATTGGATCAATTCTTCCCTGCATGTGATGTATGAATGTGTGATGTGCTACGTTCATGGGCCATAAGTGCTTGGCCCATGCTGATTCGATAGTGGCTCTTGTGCACACCATGGCTGAATGCACATCATTGCCAT